AGGCTGAAAGGCAATCAGCTGTCATTTGGAGGCAAACAAAGTGGACATGACCAGCACCTCCCCCCTCCTTTGCACCGAATTTGGCGCAAAAGGGGTTTCAGTCTGACACCAGACCAAATACCCTGCGGCGAGGCGATCTCGAAACAGGTTAATGAGGACTAATCACCCACCCAAAAACTAGGGGATCTTGAACAGTTGAGCAGAAGGCAGCTGTGCTCAGCGAAGGGTTAGCATATGATTTATGTGGAGGATTTCAGGTGCTTAGAACTCTGAATTAATTGTTTAAGAAGGATGCATTTCAGGACATCTAAGGGGACAAAAATCATGCACTTCGAATGGTATCCCCTTTTTGTGAGTATATAAACACAAACACTAACATTTTATTTATTTATGTTCTTACGCCATCAGTTACTATTTTCAAAGAGAAATAAATGTGTAGTTATTTTAAGGGGTCACTTTAAGATATCTTTATGAAACAATTTAAAGACACATTTGGTAAAGTTTCATGTGGAAATGTAACAAACATTCTAGTTCGTAATGGTTAGTTTTTGTAGCGCCTTTAAGCGGTGAGTGCTGATCGACCTAATCGCTTCCGAAAATAAGGCAAAAACAAGATCGAGAATGGGGCTAAGCAAAAGGCTTGAGGGCCCCAAAGCCAAAACCAAAACTGAAACGAAAAGCCAGGCCAAAAGCGAGACTGACACCGACTGGGTTTGTTTCACCATTGTGATTGCGATTGTGTTTGGCCAGGCTCAAAAGCGGCGCTTGGATTCGCAACTTGGCGCTGAAATCGCTAAGAAGTCGTCTCGAGAGGGGATCGAGAGGATCGGGAGGATCGGGATGATCCTACTCAAGAGGTGGACCAGACCAGAGCAGAGCAGAGCAGAGGAAACCAGCCGAATGGCCATTCATCGATCAAGTTGCAAGCGCCACGACGAGAAAGGCGAAACGTGAGGAACCAGAAGCTGCGGGTTCAGACACAAAAAAAAAAAAAAATAAAACAGCTTGGCAAAATAAGAAAAGCAAATAAGAAAAGGAACAACAATCGCCTGGCTGAGATCTTGGCTCTGACTCCATTTGAATACTCCCGAACTCGCACTCGCACTCGCATTCGCAGTCCTATTTGTGTTGGGATCTCTGCACTCAGCAAAAGATTTGCAGTTTAAGCTAATAATTAAAATTACGTAAAATACAATAATTTACATTATATCATTCAGGATTTTTTCTAAATTTATTATCCCTTAATGTGTGTAATAGATCATGACTTAAAGGTCAAGTTAAGAAATTTAAAAGGTTGTTATTTTTGGCAAGGAAAGATTTCAAAAATCGGAATCTTCTATATGTATGTAATGATATTTTTATTAAGTTTTACTTACAGCTTTTTCTGGTTGTATGTATGTCCATATAAGGAAACTAATATAACTATTATTATTATATATATTTAATATAATATTTTTTGTTTTATATACCAAATATATTTGGAATTTTTTTAAAATTAATTATCCCATAATGTATTTTATAAATTTAAATTCAAGCTAAGTAAGTTTTTGGGGTGTTAGTTTAGGGAATGCAAAATTCACTAAATCCTAAACTATTTATCTTTATTTTTACGAAGTTTTACTTAATTTTTTTCTCAGTGTAGCCCCTTGTTGACCTGTCAGTGTCGCTGTTGCTGTCGCCAAAAAAAGAGCAGGGCCAAAGCGTCGTCTTCATCGTAAGGCTCATTGTCTCGGCTGTGGAATCGGAATCGGGAATATATATAGCAGGGATATGGAACAGGGATCGGGATCGGGAGCAGGGATTCCCGATGCTGTGAACTGGAAAACAGCGGATCATCGGGACTTTGTCTTTGATCGACTGTGCAACTGAGCGACTGAACGACTGAGCGACGAAACGACTGTTCAAACTCCAGTGAGTTGATTTTGAAGCTGTCGTCTTCGGGGCGATACCGTTGTAGCGTTGAATCGCTGTATCTTGGTATCCCTCGGATCTGCAATCTGCATCTGAGAAGCTGAGAAGCTGAGAGCCTGCAAAGCTCAACCTGAAACTAAAGTTGGTTTGGCGAAGATTTTCGGGCTCCGGCAATTGATTCGCAATTCCATGGGTCGCATTGATTTTGATCGGCCACGACAGGCGCGCCATTCGGTCGCTCGTCGGCGCCTTTCCCTCTCAGTTCCTCTGGGTAGATCGGATCCCCTCGGATCCCCTCGGATCCCTTTTGCCCCTCCCAAAAACCCCCTCCAGACGCAAATTTTATTGACAGCGCCTGTTGGCAGCCGAGGATCGGGCATCGAAAATCGGGAATCGAAAATCAGAGCCACTGAACCGCTGATCAGCGGATCATTTGGCACTCGTGTGAATAAGCGCTCAATGAGTGTACTCAAAAAGAAAAAAATGTGATTAAAATTACTTGTGAATAAAGTGAATATGCCCAAAATAACATGAAAATTATTAAAATATTTTAAATACTGCAGAGAATTCAAGTTTATTATTTTAAACTTTATTGCTAAGTTGCTTTTTAATATTCTTCGCTAAGCTATCTTTATTTCTAAAGAAGGATCAAATACTGTAACAAATTATAGTTTATTTAAAAATTCATTGACATGCAGATTTCTCAGATTCTCAGCTATTCATTTATTTATAAGCCTTTTGATAACTTTTTTCTTAACAACTGAAAATGTTTATTTAATTTCAGAGCAAATGTCTTGAATATTACAATCAAAATCCTCTCGATACGGAGCCAAATCAAAATATTTACTTTTAAGTTTTGAAAAACAACAGAGAACAAATTTATACAATTTCAGTGGCTCTATATACATATTTTATACAAAATGTACATTTTTTTCTATAGGTTTTTTTTAATAAACAAGTTGTAGTGAGTGCAATTAAAACACCTTTAATTTAGAAGGGAAAATAGTAATGCCTGTTATTTATTTAACATACTCATATTTATAATTGATTAAGACTATTATCACTGTCGTTCCCATTTGTTTTCAGCTTCAGTTTCCTTTCATTCCGTTTGTCAAATTGCCGAAAAGCCAGCGAAGAGAGTCGACTTGGCTTTTCCAAGGCACTTTTTGGGTTGGGCAAAGAATCAAAAAAAAAAAACACAAACACAACAAAAACAGGGACAGTCCGACGACGGGGAGAAAAAAGCATTTGCCGGCCCATTTCACTTGCAGCGTGGCATCACTACAAAGCGCCCCACGCTAATTGCGGCAATTAAGTGCACAAAAATCTAACGACAAGTATTCGCGGCATGCGGCTATGCTTACATGGGGATCGGAATGAAATAAATTGGGGGAAGTGGTGAGCAGGGGGAGGGGGGGCTGCCAAAAAATAGTGGAGGCTGCGCACAATCAGCTACCTGCCTTTTGTTGTCCGGAATTCGGCGCTAAATGCTCTGCGCCCAGTTGCGTTCACTCTTTGAAGTTAAATAGCGCCGATCGGTTCGGATCCTGCGACTATATAGATAATGGCCGGTGGATACGGGGTCTGGGATTCGGGGACTCAGGGACTCGGGGATCGCAGATCGCAGATCGGTCGAGATCCAAATGACATGCAACAGGCGGAAAAAACACAAAAAACTAAAAGAACGTCGCCGTTCTGACAGCATGTCAACAGCAGTTTGATGAGTGATTTCCTAGAGTTATTTATCGAATTTTGAATACTCTGAACAATTTGTTTTATGTTTAAGAATACCAGAAAGTGAATTTTATAAATATCTGATTTGCAGAATAAGATCTTAAGCTTAAATAACAAATTTAACATTTATTTTAAATGTATTAATGTTTGGTTTCAAGAGTATTACAAGATATTTAATATATTTTTTTATATACGGACTATTTTAGTCATAACTTTATTTATAGATTACCATACTGTTTAAACTAAACCAAACTTCTGGAGATACCCATTTGATTAAGGGTATGCAGCCGGCAATTTGATAGACGCCAGTTGATGTCGCCGGAGATTGGTCAGGATCTGGACCTTCTGTCTTCCACTGTCGCCAAGCTCCCCTTGTCCCCATTTGATGGTCCTTTTTTTTGCTGGTTGGTTCCCGAACTCCTACACTTTTGCTTATCTGAATGCCGGCAGGAAATTTGCGCCGCTTTGATATGATCGCCGACAATGACAACGGCAAAACAGCAGCAGAAGCAACATCTACACGAAAAAAAATAAAATGTTATTCAATATTTGAATGTATCTTTTGTTTTAGTAAAATACATACCGGTTATTTTCATTGTCAAATTTTTTTGGACATATATTGATAGACAATATTTCAATTCGAGCTTAAATCAATTCTTTACTTGTATATTTTCTTATTATGTTAAATCATTTATTTATGTTAGTAAATTCTCTTAAGTATCAATACAAACCAAGGCATATTTCGAAAAAGATTTTGTTCTGTATTTATACGATTGAGAGATAAACGTTTTAAATATCATTATTTATTTAAGTTGGAATTGTTATATAAATATTTAAGAGCTGTACTTTATTAAACTTAAGTTTAGTTTTTATATATTGTTTTTACTTTAAAGTAAATTATATACTTTTAGATACTTAAATGTCTTTATTGATTCAGATCTGATAGATATTTATTTTTACTAGAGTAGTATTTTTGTGAGTGTAGAGCTCAAGCGTTGCTGAGATTTTTGATGGAACAATATTTTTTTCTTGTCCGTCCGTTTGTCCATCTTTCCGCCAGCCTGTCCGTTTGTCCGTCCGTTTATTTTTGTGATTTTGTGTCGTCGGGGGCATGTCAAGCGCCAATTGGAGCCACACTTTGCCAGGAGCGGCGGAGTTGAGGGGGGCTAACAGGGGGTTAGTTTTTCGGGCTCAGTGGCTCCATGAATCCATGAATCCATGAATCGTTCTGGCGGCTCCGGTGGATCCGCTGGCTTCTTCCTGTGCTGCCACTGACGATGACGAAGCGTTGACAAGGCGATGACAGATTTCTGCGAATTTTTCGCATTAGGCTTTGAACTCGAGCATTTGTTTTTGCAGCCACTGGAACTGGGTCGATGGGTAGCTGCACAGAGAGAAATAAGATCAAAGAAATATAAGTGAGTGAGTCAAGACTATGTAAAATACAAAATAGTTTATATTTTAATCGTTTTAATCTTTTGAAATGATAGATGTAATGGGAAATTATATAAGTAAAAGGTGTCTTTAAATATGTTTGCTGTTTTCAAATTTCCAGAGCTAAATAAAATAATGATTTACTATTTTAAATATATTTTATATAAATTGAAATGTGAAAACCTTCTTTAATAAACATTTGTATATTAAACTGGAGTGACAAATTTATATATAAATTCTCAAAAATGTTTGAAACAAATGTGACAATTATTAAAAATTTTTTCTGTGTAGCTAGCGGGGAGGGGGGCGGTACCGGTGGGTACGGCGCTACTGTTTTCGCTCAAGCGCTTCGCTCGCTGACGGCTCGGAACGACGGGCAAGTGGCGCTGCCCTTTGATGCTAACGGTTCTAGAGATGCCTCGATTTCCGCGGAAATTGCTAATAGAATCACAGCCATCACCCCTCCTCCTTCCCTTCTTTCCCCCCCCTTTCCCCGCCCCCTTGCCTTTGGCCAACTTTATCAAAGGGTTGACTTTGTCTAAGCGCCTGCTCCAGCCGCCTTTCTTTAATTTCCATCAGAGGATGCTGAATGGAGGATGTCTGCAAGGCTGCCGATTCTGAAGATGAGGGAAAGGGGGTTGCTGCACAGGGGGGTGCTGAGGGGGCGGAACAACGCCACCTGATGGCGACACGTAGCTCGTTTATGGAAGCGCCTGATGACGGCGCCTGTGGGAAAATGTCATCCAGCCCGCGAAACTCTTTCACATAGCTGCACTCAGAAAATTACAAGCTTCTATTCACTTTATTAACAATTAACTTACATTTACTTTTCAAAATATATTTTTTTTTGGGATTTGATGTGTCTGAAATATAACATTTCAGTACAAAACAATTTATTTTCTAATTTTCTTTTCGAAAAAAAAAAATGATTTCGCCAATTTTTATATTTTGTATAAGAGATTTTTATGCGAAAAACGTCCGTTTAAGCTGTAAAAGCCAATCAATTAAAAATCTTATGACAAGTTCAACAAGGTAAGCTACTCAAAATATTAAACATTTTTACCAAGGGTTTTGATAAAAAAAAATAAACGTTTTAGGAAATTTAGAAACAAACGTTTTAGTTTTGAGAAATATTCATGGCAAAGGCCGACCGATTAAACTACATATAATAAAATCTTTGTAATTTGTCTTTGCATTTGAAGTAGCACCTCTTGTTTCACCGTGTACCCGCAGAAAGGGTGTGGCTCATGGCTCACGTTCAAACTCCCACTCCTTTACAGCTGCAGTTCCATCAGGTTTATGTCCACGTTTATGTCTTAAGACCCGAGATCTCGCTGGCTGATGCCCTTTGACCAATCTGCGCGAAATGCCAGCAAGTGAATGGCAGAAACAGAGAAACAGAAGCCAAGTGGAGCCAAGAGTTGCTAATAAGGCGACATGTGAATTATGAGTAAATGAATACCAAGTGAGTGGCTCTGAAAAGACGTGAATGTCAAATGCTGTAAGCTGCGAATTGAAAAAAATGCCAGCAATATGGCGAAATCTCCGCTTAAGAAAATCTTGCAAATGTTCTCTATGGCAGCATTTCCAAAGAAAGTCTAATCATTATGTGTGTGCTTCCTATGTGCCTTCCTTTCAAAGGAAAAACTTTGAGATCCAGTTGATTTTTCAATTGGTTATTTTATTTTAGTTTTAGTTTTTTTTTTTTAATACAAATTTATATTTTCATGGCGAATAAATCTCTATATTTGATTAGAAACCAAAAGTTAAAGTAACTAGTATTTAACCCTTAGGATTAAACATTGTAATTGATATATTTCTTTGAGTTATTAAAAGTATCCTAATGAATCTCTAGACAAAGAGTAGGTAGGTAGGTTTAAGTGGATGGGCCGATGGAAACCAGTAAGCTTGGGAGTTAGCCAGCGACACCAGAGATTAGATCGCCAGATTGGTGATAGATGGATGCGACATTTGTGGTTAATGGCGGGATGGCGGGATGTCGATATCCCGAAAGAAAGAGATATTATCAGATGGGATCGTGCCTCCCCAGAAACGGAGGCATTTGGTCATTAGACGTGGCATTGTCACAATATTTGCGAGTTGGGTGAGTGGTTGGATTGTTGGATGGTTGGATGGCTGGATGGTTGGATGGTTGGTGTAGGTCGATGGCTATCTGAGCGATTGGGAGATAGTTAGATGGCCCAGGACCAGGCCATCATATATAACCCATACCCTCGGTGACTCTTTCAAGTGCACACGCGTCGCAGGGCTAAAATAACAAAGACGGCGGCCGCCGTCAAGCCATTGAGATTTAATTGCACAAACGCCAGTTGAGCAATAAAATTTATGACCTACAAATAATAGGTCTCATCCGAATGAGGCGGTGGGTGGATGTGGACGTGGACGTGGACGTGGACTTTACATTACTTTTACCGGGTGCTGAATGCTGAATGGGTACTGCCACAATCGATGCTCTTTGATGAATGGCCGCAATGACAACTCAAATGAATTGGCAATGGCATTGCAGACGAAATGAAGATGTTCGTCAATTACGCGTAAAGTGCCCAAACAACTGGGAGGATAGGTATTTCCAAATAATGGATAACTAACAAAACATTCACAATGATTAGTAAGGAAAAACAAAAAAGGTTAATACTCCAAAACAATTCGAACTTTTTAAGTTTTAAGTTATTTTAATATCAACACAGTTCGAAGAATATATAATTTAAGTTAAATATTAAATATATTAACGTATACATTCAAAATGTACCATTTTTTGAATGGATTTTTATTTCAATTTAAGCTTTATCCTTACTATAATTAATTAAGAAACAAATAACAATATCAACTTGGTCAAATGTTAATCTTGTTTTCTATAAACTGATTTTATTATGGGGCTTATTGTTTTGATTTACTTTTTGGTTTTAAATATACAAACCCGCAGAGCTTCTCTGTGATTTTAAAATTAATTCTGAAAACTTGTGCCCACAGCTGCTGATAAATTCTGTGATCTCTGCTAAAATTCCACTTTGTTTTCGAGATATGGGGGTGTATGTGGGATTTTTTTTTTCCGGGACTGGGGATGCAGTCAAGTAAATTTAATTGCCGCTAACCCTCGAACTCAATCGATGCTTAGCTGCATTTACTTTTTTTTTCCTTTTTTGTTAGTGCAAATGTTCTCGATTTCATTGATTTCAATTGCTGCATTGCATTGCCCAAATATCGATTACAATAAACACACACACAAGCTGCAGACAACAAAAGCAACAAAAGGCGGGATTCGGGCAACAACAAAAGGTGCAGTGCAACAATGGAATGGCCCAAATCGTTTAAGTTAAGGCCATTAGAAAGAATTCCGGCTACCTGGAAATCTCCTCTCACTCCCCGGATTTAGGATCACTTAATTTCCTTGTCTTCGGGCCATTTTCTCTCACTCCCTCGCAATTTCCAGTTCGGATTCCTTTCGCAGATGCCAATTGTTCTATTTACACATGTAATCGATAGCTGGGCAGGTGGCGCTCTTCTCACCCCCAAATATATACCATATTTCGCTGACTGTACCATAGGTAATCTAATATGGATCGATTCGAGGGATTAGATTAAATAAATCACGGATTTCATAGAGTAATTAAATATTATGCATATTTATTTTGGTATATATCTAGAGCTGCTTAGTTCCAAGTTCTTACCAAGCTGTGAAATATATATATATACAGATATACTTAGGACCCCTTGGCCGATCCGATCTCTTGTCTTTCCCAATTGCCCAGTTGCCCAACATTTTGTCAACCGACCGACAATAAAAATACCGCCCCTAATTACAGGCTCCCACCATCCCCACATTATGCCGCAAATCGCAAAAGCGTAAAAATATGTGACAACGCCCGAGCAGCGCTCCAATGGTCACAGCTCGTTATAAACTGCACTGAGCGAAAAAGCAGATTATATTCAACTATATAGTGACAGCATCAAGATGCCCTTAATCAGCTCATAAGCCATCCTATTATGAAAACTATTAAAACGACATTATGTTTAATATTTCGATATTTTGTTTCAGATCCTTTTTGTTTCCAAATCAAAATCCTTTTGCTTAATAAGGAAATTTTGATTTAATTTATATTGCTTTCGCATCAAGATGTTTTTCAAAGATTAATTTCAATTTTATATATTATATACTTGAATCAAAGTCATTTACCCAACTTAATATTCAACAATTAAGTTTCTTTCTTTCTTTCAGTGTAGTCATTATTGCTGACCGCTCCACTGGCCGCTCCAGTTCACGCCCACACGTTGCGTCGCCTCTTTACATAATGGATATGGAGCAGGGATAGGGGCAAATCGGAGGAACTCCCATGCGAACACTGCGAACAATGTAATTGTTGTGCAAGTTGGACTGCGAACGAGGAGGCTCAAAAACCCCCCTTTAAAAATAGCCGCAATAATTTCCAGTCACAGTCACAATCACAATCCCAGAGATCGGGAGTTACGCTCCGACTGCGCTCTAGGTGAAAGTACCCGTCGAGACTCTTCAGTTGGACAGCGATTAAGACCCACTTGAACCCCAGATCACCTTGGCCAGTACCTACTTGCCAAGCAAAAATTAGAAATAGTAGATATTTTGAAATAAGGCATTTTTTTATCAACTGTGATTGGAAAAAAAAACTAATTTAAAAGGTATCTTTTAATGATAGAAACATCTTAAATGTTGGATTACCATCATAATATAATAAGAAATATTTTGGCCATGGGAAATATGACTATTAAATTACTTTAATAAGAAAATCTTAAATGTTGGAATACCAAAAGATCTAGCTCATATACAGAGTTGTGTTTTCTTTGCAAATTCTATTCTTTACCACACAAATATAATGAAAAATGGTTTTTTCGTTCAAAGGCAAATTGTTGGAGAACTTAAAATAAAGCCATTTCTTATCATCAGTTATTGGCAAC